TTTTCACCACGAGAAATACCTCGATAAATGGCCACAATTAACAAATCCCCTGACACGTTATCAACACTAATCTCATAATCTGTTAGATTAAAAATTCAACCACACCTTAATAGGGCTTTAATAAGGTCAAGGGCGATAATTCTTCCAATCCGTCAATTATTATCGTCTGGCGAAACTCTATGATCTGTGATATATCAACTAGACCAACAGGGATAATTCACCCATTCTATTTTTGTGAGTGTTGTCTGTGATTGTCGGGGTTGTCTGAAAGTTGCTGACTCTGACTAGCATCTGATAAACACTTTTAACAGCTGGTTAAATCAGTTCAGAAAACGAAATATTCAGTGGTATGCTACATGGTTGTTTATCACCTGCCCTGTTCAGAAATAATACTGTTACCCTCTAGGTTCTTTATAATTTGAGGTAAATGTATTCAATTCCACTCACAAATAGTATGCAAATACATGTAGATAGGAAATAGGGTTACCACAAGGTTGTCTTTTACATCCACCCTTCTTCTTTCTTGCAAATAATGACTGCAGTAAGAATTATTACATGATTTATGTACATCTAGGAATTCCCAGAAAACGATCGGAAATCCGGTTTTAAGGGGTTATATTTCATTACAAACGCCAATTTTCTGAAAAGGAAGCATTACACACGGATACAAAGATACGCGTTTTGTACTAGAGTTATGCTTGGTACAATCCACATTACTCTGCCCATCGAAATCGCTCGACTAAAGGATTTGACAAAGGCTTATCATAGTCTCATCTAGTTTTCTTTCCAAAGTCTCTATAAAGAATAAATAAAGACAGTTTATGTTCTACGCCTCCAAGTTTGTCGATGGCTTGAAGCGATTGTGTGAAGTAATTCGTTAAGATAACGAGCCACACGATTGACTAATGAACTAAAGAATAGATTATATCATTGAATAAACTGGAAATACAAAAGATATTCCAAGAAGTTAGAACTTAGACACGTTCATTATCCACGTGTGTGCATTTTAGAACACTTTACGTCACAAAACGTCATGTGACAGAGTTTCCCGCGTGTCGAGTGTCACAGACGACTTCTGATTGCGGCGTGACCAAAAGACTTGTATCAGTAGCCTTGTTTACAGAAGACAACAAGAGATTTCCGTCATGGGATTGTCAAAAATACCGGACAGGTCGGAGATCGATGGGTTTGAAACATTGTCGTTTGTCTGTTCACATACAATTGAAGACTTCTGCACGTACCACATTAGATGGTTAATAATGTAGGCTTTGTATTTAGGCGGCTACGAATGAAGGTCCTTGGGGCCAGGCGTGGTGTGGAGCTATTATTCTCACTAGGCTAATGAATAACAGTACTTTAGGCATGGTTAACCACAGATAGGCTGCGCACCAATCAATCAGAAGCTACCTATATAGTTATTTTAGAAAATTATCGGAAAATCAATAGATTAGTGTGGAACCGTTTCATATCTATACATGAATCACGAAAGAGACAGGGGGAAATGGACAACCTTGTTGCATACCTTTATGAAAGTGCAAATATTGTTTATAAATTGCATAATTTAGTATACCTTGGTCTAAGCCATATCATTGTATATACAGATCCTTTGGCATTAGCAATAAATTATACCTAATTTAATTCAAAATAAGACACAAAAAAGGTGAAGTTCTGGGTCCGCCACCTTCCACCCCAATCGAAGTTTAACTCGGCACTCCAGTGTTACCTGTTGTATCGATCAGTCAATATTTATCTTAGCTTAACGGCTTTTATCGTCGCCTAAAACATCTGGCTTCAAAGACATGGCTAACATTGGGCACATTTTCTTACCCTCAAGATGCAATAGTTTCTTCCCTAGTAAACGTTCGTCCTATCCTCTTGATCAAATATACTCTTTTCTACACACAGGTAACAAAAAACTAATTGTTTTCAGAGCGTCCTGTTTACAGCTGATCCGTTTTCCTCCTGCGGTTTGTCAGGTTGGTGCTAGACCACAAAGAGTCGGAAACTTAAAGTGAGGGTGGGGTGGGGTGGGACTTTGGTTATTTGGACTTTTGTAAATTCTGGACGAATTCAGAAGTCTTATGAAATTTCGGGTATGCATGTTTCTAATTGTTGTTTTTAAACCATTGAAGTCAAATGCATCTCAGGCTGTCCTCATCACATTTCACCCTTGCGACTATGGGCATTACATATAGGCAGTTTTCTGTCCGAAAATGATTCCAGTCCCTATGATTTGGAAATGGAAATTATCAAGCCCCTGTAGCGTCTGTGATGACAATACCAATTCTATGTGAAAGGTGTATGAAGAGACTATATTTAGTACAAAGTAAATATTATTTACTAGATAAAGTGTAGTTTCATTGTTTATTTATTTGTTTTAAAGTCAAGCAAAATAAACCACTGATAATCCTCCAGTCAATAGCCTTGTTTATCTTCCTACAGGTCAAAGTTCAACCAAAATCTTCAATTTGCACTCAACTGTGAAATGATATTAAATAAAATGCACTTAAATTGGTAAAAATCTTTGACAGCTCTTAATCATTAGTTTACATTATATGGAAATATATACTAATGTTCCCAACCCTTGGCTACAGCATTTGTTATTCAAAATACCCTCAAGTTTTTTGTTGTGAGAGGTTGATTGTCACTTGTTTTTTAATGTACAAAGCTTTTATTTTTAGTGGAAATGACTGATTTGTGAGGTGTGAGGCATTAGAATGTACCAGTCACATGTTCAGGCCAAGCACTGACAGCATTTTTGGGAAAGGGTATGCAAAAATTACAGAAAATCCATTGAACACCAATCTATTTTTTGGTACCAGTACAGGAAAGGCTTCTGAATGCTTCCAGTTTTATGTATCAACTGCAGTAACAGTTCCGTACATATTCTGCAGATGGAGATCTCTGGAAGGAGGAGAGAAGCAGATAAACTGAATAATTTTTATTAAATAATATATAATAAATATAATATACAAAAGCAAAAAATCTCGAGCAAGAACTAGGTTTAACACTTTCAATGGAAGGGCTGTTTGCCACGTCAATTCAAATTATAATAATGCTGATCAACAACACTTCAAGTATATTCAATGAAAGCCTTAAAAAGAGGGCATGTTCAAAATATACACAGACCTGAAAATTGATGTTGAATGTTGAAGAAAGATTCATGTCCTTGTGCACTGTGAAATAAAATAGTCTTGTAATGAATTTTGTGATCTGTATTGTTGAAAATGTCTGATTGGCAAAGAAATAATTTAAAAGCCATGGTTTATAGGTAATGGAACTAAAAAAATCATGTCCTGTCCATGTTGTGTAGTTAGGTGGTTTGTAGTTCTTGCCCACTATTTCTTTCTACATACACTATCCTCTAACATCATACACTAACAATACATAAATAAATACAATAAAATAATGTTGAATATTTCCTGACAGGGTTCAGAATTTCAGTCTGACAATGAATATATATATAGTAAAGCATCCTTAGTTAAATAACTAAATTTCAGTAGTTTTCAGCACTGTTTTTAAACTTCATCATATTCAGATGAAAATTACAAAATGCTTGCAATGAAATACTAACACTAGATTATCATTATAGCACCAATAAAATATGATATTAATCAAGTAATGTTAGTAGAAATACGGATCTGTAGGTTTTGTTTTATGCTGAATCTGATGAATATCTTTTATTCCACAGATTGTTTGATGGCTTGGATCTCATAATAGTAATGAGTTACAAAACAATTTTGATTGAATATCAGTCTGCAAGTCTGATTACAAAGAATCGGGATTCAAACTTTAGGTATCAAATATACCACATATCAAAATTTAAACTACCGGTAATAATATTGCAACTGAGTGTCAAAGTGACTAATATAATATATAATATATACAAAGAAGATAAATTCACACTTAAGGGACATGTCTCTCCTCAACTGGTGTGGATTATGCATTAACTTGTACCATGGTGCAAAAACCAAATTTAATGCCCAAATTTTCAAATTTTGATTTTCTACACCTGATCTAGTGCAAGGGGAAAAGATTTAAATAGTATAATGATAGGATCAACTGAAGTGACAAGCAAAATTGGCGGAAAAGCAACAAAATATGAAATGATTTTCAATAAAAACTATCTTTGTAGGATGTTAATCTACATTGGCAATAATCCTAGATTAAACAATATTTTCTTAATAAAATATGAAAAATGTTGATAAAAAATGAAGTGACCCAGGCAGATAAATATGTGATTCCATTGCCAGTGCTTCCTATTATATTACTGGGTTTTCGCTCTCCTTTGCACAAGTTACTTTGAATTTCATTCAACTGTTTTGTTACTATTGTTGTCAGTATAAATTTGTACTTTTACATGAACAAACACAGTAAGTGGCATGAATTTTCTAGATAATTTACAAAATAAAATTTAAATGATAAAGTGATGATTATTAGCTTACCAATTTCATGACTTGAATAAGACGAATGACAATGTAGACATTTTTTTTCTAGCATACAACTACAATATTACCTTTAGTCCAGTTTATATGTATTCATTAATCTTATAGGGTATTTTAACCATAATTTTACTATGCATCTACCACTGAGGACCATAAAACAAGTTGATATAGCCTAAGCAATCATTAAATTCAATCAAATATTTTTACCCTAATGGGTTTTGCTAGTCATTAATAGTTAATCTACCACTAAGAAATAACTGATGCATAATGACAGGACCTTAGTTTAAAGCTGTATTAATGCTAAATTATATTATGGCACATTGTGGAAAATATCATATATACATTGTTTACTTGTTATAGCCATTTCAACCAATGAGATTCAATAACTCAGTTTTGAACACATCTCGACCATTCAGAGGCCAGCAGCGCTAAGCACTTTCCACCAATAAAAAGCTTCTATTGCATTTGCTGCATTTCCATCTTAAAATACACCAATCAGAAGTCTTTAAACAATTTGCTGCATATTATGAAAACTGACCAATGATAAGAGAGTATTTATGCTGATACAGATACTGGAGCTACTCCCTTGTATTTGGTGAAGATGTTGTAAAGGACTCGTAAAGTTGATTTCAGATCATGGTTCACTACATCTGAAAAGACACAAAAAATCTATTATAGAAGCTGAATATTTAAGTGATCCGATTTCAAACAGAGTTCGCTATTCCAATCATATAAGTATATAAAAACTAACTCTATTTCCAGTTAACAATTTCCCTTTTTTGAAATACAACTAACAACACCTTAGATTGTCTCAAACATTATTAAGGGACTAATTCTAAGATAAAGAAAGTGAAAACATGTTGACAGTTAACAACAATATCAATGTCTGAAGTAGATACCTTATTGTTTTCTATTTTTGGATATGTTAAAATGAAATATCAATATATTCACTGTTAAAATAGTGATCAATTGTAGAGGGATAAAGAAATTTTAAAAGAGTAACTGAAACATGTTTCAGTTACTATATTTTTATATTAAAATAAACATGACTAATAATAATCATTGATGAGGTCATCAGATACAGGCTGTGAATATCAGAGATCCAACAATAGTTTCAAATTGAGAAAGGTTAAACCAATGTTGCACATACACTTCATAGTGTTACCCATCTTCATTAGGTCCAGATATATCTCCATTTGAAATGGAAATGGATTTAAAAGTTTGACACAATGAAATGTGCTACTATCTAGCTATAGTGCAGTATGGGAAAAAACTACTGAAACAACAAGATCTTGTTTACATGGCCCAAGACATAAAATTTCACAAATTTGATTAAAAAATATTTTCTTTCTTAAAACAAACCCAACCCTTCATTTCTTGAAAATTCCATATTTTATTAACTTGGTGAAGAATTCCAATAAAATGGTTGAAATTCTAGATCTTTGTGCAATTGTGAAAACATACATTACATTGTAACGAATGCACCTGAAGAAATCTGTTGACAAGTCTTCGACATGTTAAACCTAAAACCACATGGGTTAAAATGGCAGTTTTGTTCCAATTTCCTTACTTATAATAATGGGACACAATTTTCTGATATACTTCTGAGCTAATTGTTCACTTCATTTCAACAATTTGTCATAATCAGGTAAAAATTCAGGTAAATGACTCAATAGCAGTATACCATAAACTTGTATTATGGTACATTATAAAATGGGTTCTCTACTCCTTAAGGAGTAATTTCCTTACTTCCTTATGGAAGTAGTAATTTCTGTCCTACCTTCATAGGCCTTCATAGACAGACACTCTTCACAAAAATTCAAATTTCACCTTTTTCTATTCAATTGATATGTTCAACTAATTAAACGTTAATTTTACTTATAAAATACTTCTCACAACAATTTCCAATTCATCTCAACTAATGAAATCGTCTTGACGACAACGAAAGCTCATAGAATACAATGCTTTAGTCACTCTTAAAAGGTGTATTCTTACTTCTTTCATTATACAACAACATAAGAGTGATACAGCACTACTTCCAATTCCACCACAAACTCACGTGTCATTTTAAGCTTTAATCAAAAATGACTGGAAAATACAACCAAATCAACAACCCTTAGTATTGCTTTGATCTGTAACAGCATACATCTTGTGAGCGATTATCATAAAATGTACTTTTGCCACTTAAAGAGCCTCACTCTCAGAGGTTAACAAGTTTAAAGGGAACTGTAGTATATAAAAATATGGCAAGTAAAATTAAATCTTAGCAGGAAATATTATTCAAAGATATATTTGTCAAACATTAAACTGCAGGGATAGCCTCTTTAAAGTTCTTTTTGACAACAAAAAGCAGAAAACATTACTCAAAGATATATTCAAAAAACACAAGATGTAATTACGATAGAAATCATCAGAGATAGCCACTTTAAGTTAAAAGAGAACAATATAAAGCAAGGTCTGTTCTTATAACATCAAAAGAGACTGAAGAATTTGAGTTCTACCAGAGTTTCTGTTGACACGATGACGTACTTCAGGTTGTTTCTAAACAGTTTAGATTCCTCACAAGTCAGACGTAGAAAAGAATGAAGTGTTTTCTGAGTTAACGTCCACGAACATTTGTTTTGATCAAAGTAGCCAGGAGAAAAAACTGTGTTTATGTTTCTCGTGGAAAATGTTAAAAATACAACAACCATGCTACTAGAAATAGATTGTAGGGTACAGAACAATGAGATTTCATGTTGAAATTATTATGTCATTAGATTCCATGGGTTGCCTTAAAGTCTAGGTTTAGGTTTGACAAAAATTGGTAAATAAGTTACAATAATGCATGAATTTGGAATGAAGATGTGTTTTCTTAAGTTACTTTATTAAGCAATTGCTTAAAACTGTAATAGATGCTTATCAGGAGTATTTCAAAATTATTTGCTTATTAGTTGACCTCAGCTCATCTCAGGCTTTGGACACGTGTTTTGGATAAACTAATCTCATCGGGACAGCTAGTTTTGGAATAAGGAATTACCTTACCAAAATTGGCATATATAGAAAGTAAGCACATGAAGAAAGTAAGCACATGAAGAAAGTAAGCACATGAAGAAAGTAAGCACACTCACTCTATTTGGTTAAGTTATTACGTATTCAAAGACTCTCAAGAAAACCTTCAAAATGCAATGTTATTGCCACATTAAATTGCCATTGAGTCTCGAGAACACCTTATATTTATTAACAAAGTAACTACTTTCAGATATACCAGACTAAAATCACCTGCTAAAATTCTTATTCATGTGTCGGAATTTTTAAAAAAAATTTTATACATTCATATTGGATTTAGGTTACCCAATTGTTAAAATAATCATAGTTAGTTATAAATTAATAAAGGTTAGTGCACATGTTTTTTCCATGGGTGATTTTAGAAAGTGTTTACTTTCTTACAACAGTCATAGGCTGGGTTCTAAAGTCATAAAATATGCCACTCAAGCCAATCTTTTAACTCCTGTGACTGTCATGCTTCCACTATTTTGAAACAAGGACCAAGATGTTTGAATTTGCCACAAAACATCAACATAATTTCCTTAGGAAAAAGAAACAACAATATTTTACAAGGATAACAACTTATAGGTTCACAGTTAAGGATCCTTTCTACCATTTGGTCTTTGACCAAACCTCTTGGCATTGATCTTTCCCAGATTATCCTTACCCATCCATTGGAAAATGGAATTATGAGTGAAGATGACTTTCACACGCCGATCTAAATCGGAACCCACCGCCGTCATTGTAACCAAGCAAATGACGTCATGTAAAGAAACAATGTTCTAACCGACTGTGCTATAGCACCTCACAATTTATCTTAATTGTTTTACAATTCTACAAACAGCAGCCGGTCTGTTATAAAAAGGTATTTGACATCATTAATTTAACCTTATTAACTTTCAGCCTAAATATAACATTACAATCAGATTATAATTATACTATCTGACAGAATCATCAAAATTATGACATGGATACATTTGTTATTCATCAAAATATTTTCAATTACAACTAGTGCAAGAATTTCAATGGCTGAACCAACTTCAAAATAACAACAATATCAACCTTTGAAGTGAGATGGATGGTTGAAAACGTGAGATTGATTAGGAAAGTTTCCTGATTTCATTTGACCAAGAGCTGGCCAGGTCAAAGTTCTGATGAAAAACAAACAGTGAGTGTTGGGGACACCCAGCTCCCATCTCTTGGTAAATACAACTCTAATAGATATTTGACCTTTCTGTTGCTAAGGTCAGCAGCCATATTGAAATAAGTACATGTAATTAGTCAATGACTTTTACAGGTGAGATAAACTTTGACCCCAAAATGACTGCTGATAATTGTTTCAAATTTAACTCTACATGCTGAATAATAGTTACTGAAATGTCAAAGCAACCCCTAATGTTTTTATTTCAACTTTTATATTTGTCAACACAGATCTAGCCATGGCTGGTTATTGGTTTATCTATGTTAATAAATATAACAAATAAGCAATATTAGCTATGTGAACTCTCATAAAGAGATGAAGAAAGGAAGGCCAAATTGCATAGTGGTGTAAGGTGAACCAAGAAAAGGTAGTGACATCAAGTATTCGGGAAGGGCAACGTTTCTCTACCTCAGTAATAACTTAAGTTAATAGGAGGCTGTAAATGTGAAATTGATTTGACCTATCGGCTAGATACGGTATCTACAGAATATCTTATCATTATGATAAATCAAAATAGACTTTTATTAATAACACTCTCCATGGTGTAGCTTTAATGATGCAACATCAACAGCAAATTATGATTACTTTGATTTTATTTCTACTGGTTCTCAAAACAGTGATAGCAGACAACCAACAAGTGTATCAGATGCATCAAAATTCTGACAGAATATCCAGAACAGTAGAATGTGATGTCATTATAGCAGGGGGCAGCACTGCATCACTTGGAGCAGCCATTGCTGCATCAAGACAAAACATTGACAATGTTGTCTGCTTGACAGAGCCTACTGATTGGTTAGGAGGACAAATGACCTCATCAGGAGTTAGTGCTATTGATTTTGGAGAGTTCAACAGACTGCCACAGTTCCAATCAACATCCTTTGCTGATATGATGTCCAGTCTTGGAGAAGGCAATCCTGGAAGATGCTGGGTAAGCATTAAATGCTTCTTGCCAATGACACTCATTAATGGATGGATTAACAAAACAGTATCAGCATTGCCAAACCTGAAGGTCTTCTACAACACTGTGATCAAGAGAGTGGTCAAGTCTGAAAGGTTGATTAAAGAAGTGATTGCTATCCAACGAACAGTCAAAGAAGGATTCCAGCCATGGAAGGTGCGACTGTCCAAAATCATTGCTGACTGGTACTCTGAAGAAGATTCAGAGGTTTTTACTAAAGAGACATTAACATTTGTAGCCAAACCACCAAGATCTCACCCTGTAGTAATAGAAGCAACAGAATATGGTGACATCTTAGCTCTCTCTGAAGCATCCTACAGAATTGGTCTGGAATATCCTTACGAGAATTCCAGCACTACTCTTGAAGGTTGTGGTCAATGCATCACTTATCCCTTTTTCATGGTGTCTACAAAGGATGCAGCCCCGACACAAAATGTACCCAATCCTGGAGGTGCATATGGATTCAATGGACTAACTTTTGGAAGAATATGGGCATACAGAAGAGCTTTTGGATTGAACACTGGGCAAGTGGATGAACTACATTTAGGAGAAATTTCTCAACAAAATTATGGGGATGGTAATGATTTCTGTGATGGATTTGCGTATCTGAACAAGATTGAAACTTCAAAACAGCTTCTCAATTGGCAAGGTGGGCTCAACATAACATCTCTAGCATCAGCTGAAGACAGAGGGTGGGGATGGTACCATTTCTATATGGGAAACTTATCACAAGAACTCCAAAATCATGTATATTTAGGTCTTTCAAATGTGGTTGGTACAGAAACAGGACTGACAAAAGTTCCATATCTTCGAGACTCAAGAAGAAGTGTGGGACTTGATGGATTTCTGATGACAAAACAGGATCAACTTACTCCAGATAAGGTTGACGATGCTTTAAATTCAGGGATTAACTTTTCAGTGAAATTTTATGATAGTATTGCCATTGGAAACTATAATTCAGACATTCACAGACAAAGAGGATGCAAATGGCCAGAATATGCTGATGGCATCAAAATTCTTCCTTTTCATATTCCATTTCGAGCTTTAACTAACCAGGATTTTGACAATCTATTGGTAGCAGGAAAATCCATGGCTCAAACTGAAGCTGGGAATGCAGGCGCTAGATTACATCCTACGGAGTTCCTAACAGGGGAGGCTGCTGGAACAGCCAGTATAATGATGTTAGAAGAGGGACTAACAACTCGACAAGTTTATGAAAGGGTCTCAGACCTTCAACAGGAGTTGGAAAAATTTATGCCAATTTATTGGGACCATCCCAGAAAACTGTAAAAACACAAAGAATAGATTTAAAAAGACATGTTTGATTTGTAGTTTCAGAGAGTTCTCATATCACATATCCATTAACAACTGATGTACACACATGATTCATAATCAGCATTTGAAAAATTGACATGTATACCAAAGTCAAAGGGCTTTAACTCTATTATTAACAAACTTTATCATTATAATGTTCCTAGCAGTGAATCTATATTAATAGTACTACAGACAAACACACCATACATTGAATATAAATCTGTACCAGCAAAACAATTTCATTTACAAAAAATCTTGTCCAAAAGTATTACAAAATTGGGAGTAATCATTGCACAGTACTTTGTAGACTCTTCAATGAGAAGTACCATCAGGTGTTTCGAAAGATAAAGCTTAAGGATAATGTTTTATCAGAACAAGCACCATTAGAGTTGTTTGTTACATCAAGAATTGACAAATATATGTGCAAATCAAAAACCAAGAACACTAACTAATGAATAATGCTTTATCAGAACAAGTACAAAGTAGTTTTGTTACATCTAGAATCCAGACATGACAAATACATGTGCAAATCAACAACCAAAACCATAAACCAATGAATAATGTTTTACCAGAACAAGCATCTTTATAGTTGTTTGATAAATCCAAATTTGACAAATATACATGCAAATCAACCACTAAACCCAAGAACTCTAACAAATGAATAATGTTGTATCAGAACAAGAATAAAGTAGTTTGTTACATCCAGAAATGACAAATACATGTGCAAATCAACAACTAAATCTTTTTATCAGTACAAGCATCTTTAAAGTTGTTTGTAAGAAGTAAGATGAAATTCAGTACCGGTAACTGTGTGTGTAAAACAACCTGTCTAGATTAGGTTCCTGATAATCTTTGATTTACTCTTTTCTTCTACATATAGTTCACACTGACATTATCAGAGCTTTCAAACTTTTGGAACCATTACAGAGAGAAGTCAGACATTATCAAAATCTAAAAGAAGAACTCAAGTTTCTGAAATTTATGAAGAAAATCTAGCTTTGAATCATTTTGGCAACACTAACTGAATTGAGTGAATACATATACGTTATCAATTTTCAATGCAAATATACAAATCTTCACAATATTTAACATTTTGTTAATTAAAAATTTACAAAAGAATTCAACTTTTGGTTTTTGTTACCAAATTTTGCTGTATATTTATGAAAATTAGGAAATTCGGATTAAGCTGATCTCAATAGTTGACAGAAATCATTGAGCAATATTTACTTTTGTTTCATATAGATATAAGAATGTCTCGCACAACATTATATATAATATTATACTGAAATCTTAAATTAATTATCAGAAATGACTGGCAATAACATTAAAATCAACAACCAAGCTTTGAATCAAACACCACAAATGTGGTGATGTAAGCCTTTATATTCGAATTCAAACATACTATCTTGTTATTACAGGATCAGTTTTATAACTCTATCACCAGTTACAGATGACTCACAATAGTCTTATATTACATAGTGCAATGAACTTTTAAATTACATCATAATAGTTTATTCATCCCCCAGTTCGTAAAAGTTACCTGTGATAAAAAGTTTTCGCAATTTGAGCTTTTGAGGTTTATATTTACCCTTTACGTCTGGCTTGAAATCCAAGATGTTTGACTATGATCGTGTTGTAATTTGAATGTAATAACTCTATCAAAGCATATCATATTAATTATAATAGGAAACTTCAACTTTGATGTTTTAAACGATTCCTTGGTGGCCAGGTAAATTTATAGAAACTATAGATATAAATGACTGATGACTTTAAATGGCTGAAATGTATATATATCTACCACTATGGTAGATATGCTCAAAACATAATTTTCACTTATTCTAAGATAAAATTTGAAAAAAAAAAAAAATTTCTTTTGAATGGTAGACATGCAAGAAACATAATTTTCACTAAACCTAACATAAATGTTCCAAAAAACAAATATTTCCAGAGATAGAAATGTATGAAAAGCATGGACAATGGACTAAAAGCATTAAGCAGTGCTTCTGACACCAACCTGGCTATCAATGGACTTATCATAATTCTACTTGTCACAATTCATCTGATTGGACGGTATTACTGTCAATCATTTTGTAATAAATCAGATTTCTATACCTCTTTAGATAATCTAAAATCAATTTTTCTCTTTTATCCACCAAGTGATGACTTCAAACAAGGAAGAGAACATGCAAGCTATAAATAATGTGGCTGAGACAATCTGCAAACCAACGACAATTCCTATGCATTCATTGTAAGGACTGTTTAAGAGGTTAATATGGCAGTCATGTCACTCTGGATCTCCAACACAACTGACCATGATTTTAGGATGAGAGGATAATTTAAGCTTGATAAGCCATCATTTGAAAAAAAACTTCATCCTTACAAGCTTATGACCACAAATTAGAATCAAGAACTGTGCCCATATTCCATTGAAGTTTATCATAGAAGAAAAGATTATAATAGTATGTTTAGAAGTCAGCCCAAAAACTGAAAAGTAAATATACTATTCCTAGGTTTGATCTTACACTAGATTTCAACAATTTTCAATCAGTTTTCTTCCACCTGATTATTTTATTTAATGTGATCTCTTATTCCTTAATTTCACAAGAAAAATTGAATATTTTCTTACCTTCAACTCTCGCTTTAGGTTGTGGAAGACCAGCATCCTGCATCAGTTCAAAAGCAAAGTGTACATTATGTACCTGAAATGATAGAGAGTATCAAACTATTAGATTGAGGTGGTCAAATATTTGTGAATAACACCCAGTAAAAAGTATTTTTTTTGTTAATTTCTGCTGTATAAATGAGAGCAAGCTTGGATGATAAAATGCTGGATGTTTTCGAGGAAATGAATACTGTCCCAAATGTAAAAAAATGTTGTTTTTGCAATATATAAAGTTAATTATTTGACAATTAAAACAAAAATGGGTAAAGTGACTAAAATTATTTGTGAACAAACATTTCTGAATCTTTTTAAGTCTTTAATTGGCATTTAGTAATTATGAGTAAGATATATATAATCACTTGTTAAAGTTTTATGCAAAGTTTCGTTTGTGCCTGAGGACGACAGGGGGAAACACAATGGAACATTGCATAAAACTTTAACCAGTGATTGTTGTTCCATAAAGATGTGTATATATATTTCTAAATCTTGTATTTCAATGGTCCAAGTACCAAAAATTACCAATAATCTATCTCTGTCTGCTCATGGAAATCGATGCGACTGATCTTTTTTTATATTCTTCTTTCATGTTAGTTCACTCATCAAAATATTTGGTTCCAAAATGCCAAAAAAGTGCACTTATACTGAAGGTATGTTGTAATTAAGTAATGAATGTTCGTTAGAGAGTTTTTCTATGATTACTGTGAATTATTGACATAGTTCAGTTTGTTATTAGCACAGTAAATTATGATGAATGTTTGTTTTTACAGTTGTACACTCATTACATATACTATTTTTATTTTCAGATTTAACATGGGTGTTTTTTACGTTCGGTCTGTATACTGCATTCAGGCTAATATTATTAGTAATTACCAGTATTCAATAAGAATGGATATGTTAAAGTAGATTTCAGAGAGTTCGTACTGATAAATTAAAAGATTGTCATGTGTGTTTTTTAAGTTCTGTATAATACATCAAGACTTATATAATATCAATTATTAATATATATATAACAAGAATGGTGATAATCAACAGCATACAATATGAATGGTATATGAAGTCATTGATGAGAAGAATATCAAACAACAAAAAAAACAGTTTAATATATTTATATTTATATTCTGTCATACATTTTATGTTAAATCAGTACTGGTATATTTTTTTAATGTAATATCTTTTTATATTCAATATGTTAAAACAGATTCTGCTGTAGGCAAGTACTATGCTCCAGATCCCACGTTTTTAAGTTTAAATTTAATTTATCATGTGTTTTATCTCATTATATAGTGAGTTTGCTTTTGATGAAGGCACTGTCACAGATATCAAAGATAATTATGAATACGGAAGTTTGTGACTGGTTTCCTGATTAATAATCATTTCCTGCAACAGAATGTTACAATGATGTCACTTCAACTGTGTTTCATCTGGCACAAAAAACAGCTTCTAGCATTGCCAACTCATTCAGCAAAACAGGACACTATTAGTTTCATACATTATATTTCAATTCTATAAAGCTTGGTCAAGGCTAATATCAAGTCATGGATAGGAGATGAAGCCAACCCAACTTTTGTTTTTCAACATTCAGTAGAAACTCTGTTTATAAAAGTTATGATATAGAGTAAAGAAAGCCAGAAGAGTGTATATAAAGATAGACTAGTACATAATTTACCAGGTTTTAATTGAAATACAATCTGCTAGTCTAGACTAGTTGATAAAATACAGTTGTAATAAACATGAGAAAATTATGTAAAAACTATCAGAAAACACTGTTTTTACTCCTGATACACACTTGTTTCAATATCATTACACCAGATATATATATATACAGGCCAAATATTAAAGACAAAAGAGACAACTTTTCCAGTAGCATGTTGGTGCATTAGGTCCCTCAAGAAAATAAGAAGAATTTCAAGATTGTATATAAGCGTTAAGACTTAAAAGTTTGATATTTTAAGAAGAAAGAACATATCTGCCACTGCTATTTGTTGTCCATTTGCCTCGCCCTAAATTTAGCTAACTGTCACATATATTAACATATTAAAGAGTTTAACACTAGAGAGCAATAGCTGATGTGAATGTGCAGATGAGAAAAATACTGAACACCATTCACCTTTACACACTTTTGTGTGGTCCAGCATACAGTGGGGAGTGACAAAATTTGTATGTGAGTTCAAAAAATTAGCTTTATTGTATAGTACGTTGATAAAGAAGTCCTGCTCTCAAACAATAAACATTCAGATATCTAAAGAAATGAAAATAAAGATGGTAATAATAATAAGAATCTGATAGGAAAATTCTCTTCTATAAAATCCATTTGTTAATCAATAACTCACTGATGAGTTTAATATCCCTTTCATAATTTTAATTAAGATATATACAGGTACTGATGAAGTAAGTTTCTATTATATTCTATTATCCAGTGACCTGTATATAAAATCAAATGAGTTTGTATTTCCTATTGACTAGCACTTTACTTTTTAAATCTTTCCACAAGACTTACAGAGATTTTTAAATCCATTATTTAATCAACAATAACTCACTGGACGGGTTTAATATTCTATATTAATTTTAATAAAGATATATACTGATCAAGTAAGTTTCTGTTATATTCTATTATCCAGTGAACCTGTTCTCATGTATATAAAATCAACTATTGACTAGCACTTTACTAGACCTGATGTTTTTTATCTTTCTACAAGTCTTACAGAGATTTTTTGTACCTCTTTAAACCGAAAACAATGAAAATCTGAACAAACAAAATGATCAATAATTATGTTGAAATAATTATAAACAATTGATCCATAGCTATATATCATAACATATCACCATATTTATAGACAATTAGAAATCAATCAGGTTTCATTGATGGATAACACAAATTATAAATATATAAGCTTACTAGATCACAATAATAAACTATTTTCATTGTTAAAATAGTGCTCAACACATCAATTGTAGAGAGATATAGAAATACCACTGTTAAAATAGTGCTCAACACATCAATTGTAGAGAGATATAGAAATACCACTGTTAAAATAGTGCTCAACACATCAATTGTAGAGCGATATAGAATACCTCTGTTAAAATAGTGCTCAACACATCAATTGTAGAGAGATATAGAAATACCACTGTTAAAATAGTGCTAAATACATCAATTGTAGAGCGATATAGAAATACCACTGTTAAAATAGTGCTCAACACATCAATTGTAGAGAGATATAGAAATACCACTGTTAAAATAGTGCTCAACACATCAATTGTAGAGAGATATAGAAATACCACTGTTAAAATAGTGCTCAACACATCAATTGTAGAGCGATATGGAATACCTCTGTTAAAATAGTGCTCAACACATCAATTGTAGAGTGATATAGAAATACCACTGTTAAAATAGTGCTCAATACATCAATTGTAGAGCGATATAGAAATACCACTGTTAAAATAGTGCTCAATACATCAATTGTAGAGCGATATAGAAATACCACTGTTAAAATAGTGTTCAATACATCAATTGTAGAGCGATATAGAAATACCACTGTTAAAATAGTGCTCAACACATCAATTGTAGAGCGATATAGAAATACCACTGTTAAAATAGTGCTCAACACATCAATTGTAGAGTGATATAGAAATACCACTGTTAAAATAGTGCTCAATACATCAATTGTAGAGCAATATAGAAATACCACTGTTAAAATAGTGTTCAATACATCAATTGTAGAGCGATATAGAAATACCACTGTTAAAATAGTGCTCAATACATCAATTGTAGAGCGATATAGAAATACCACTGTTAAAATAGTGTTCAATAC